ATTGGGAAAAAATATGATCGTTTCGACTATATAAATCACGAGATTTATAAGATCTCACTCGTCTAGTCTATCCGATATTATTTTTTCATAGGACAGATAGATGGTAGAAGAGAGGATGTGTCAAAAACTATCATCGATTTTTATTTTACTTTTTTTACTTTATTTGTCTATTTTGTTCCCCTTTCTTCTCCCTCGCCCTCTTCCCCCCCCCCTCTCTCTCTCTCTCTTTCGGTTTCCATTCGAAGAAGAGGGAAAGAAAAAAGAATCAATGCGAAACGATTGAAATCGAAGGCAGTTACGCGTTATTCACTTACATATATCTATATACGATTCAACGCGAGATCGGAAATCCATCGGACGGTTTTCCTAAATTGAGTTTTCTATAACTACGTTCGAAGGAAACGCTATGTCAGGACGCGGTGTCTAGTTTTCCGACTATTCTCAAGTACCACTACCACCACCACCCCCTCGGAAACTGGCCAGTCTTACGAATCCAACTACAAAGTCGTAAAACCAACCAACTTTTCATTGTACCCTTCGTTGACGATGAAAATGGGATTTACAACTCGTTTATAGATATATATATATATATATATATATATATATATATATATATATAGAGAGAGAGAGAGGAAGAGGGAGCGTGTGTGTAGTATATTATTTTATTTTCTTACAATTTATCTTTTTATTCTGTACATCTGTTTTAACTCTTTCGCAATAATTAACCTCAAGTAACAGTTTTCTTATAACACTTGTACTATAATTTGAAATTATTAGAACGGTTTAAAAAATTTGAATGAATATACGAACTTACGATCGTTGGCTTCACTTCGATTCGTCAACAATAATCTTTATCTTCGTTCGTAATCGATAAATTTTTATGTTATAAATTAACTGAGAGATTATTTTTTACTTTTTTCCCTTAATTTCTTTTTTGTAAATAGAAATTCTCGTTTCGTTCGACGACGAAATTCAGTGAATTCATTCATTTAGAACGCACGTACGAGTTTTGTCTATATCCTCCGAGGAACACGTTAAACGATAGTTCTCTCTCTCTCTCTCTCTTTCTCTCGTCGGTTGCAAATTGATTACGTAATGTGCCAGTTCGAGAGAAACTAAGCAGATTTCTTTGTCACTTCAGTCGTCCGTGTTCTTCGGGAGTTCTTCTTCTTCTTCTTCTTCCTGTCTCCAAAATATGAAACCAATCGTGTGAGTAACGAATCAAAAAGAAAGAATATTTTTGTAATTTAAATAATCAACAATTTTTCATAAACATCAAGTTATCGTTAGTTATCGTTTTTGAGAAAAAATAGGTTTGAAAATTTGTTAAGTACACCATGTATATATATATATATATATGTTAAGTCGTAGCAAGTTACTTTATTCTACAATTAATAATAGCCCGTTCTAGATAATAACGACTACCACCACCGTTATCATCTTGAACGATTTTTCTTTCATATTTACGCTATCAATTTTCTTGTTATTAATTAACCAATGCCCTTTACGAAGCTTCTTACTTTTCTTTCATAAATTAAGTGAGACTTTTTTTTCCTTCCGTCTCTCCTTTTTTCTTTTTTTTTTTTTTTTTTTTCATACAAAGTTATAATATATATTTTGATATATAAAAGGAAAAGACAAATGATAAACGTTATCTAAACAAATGCCTATTTTTGCACAAAAATTCTCGCTTTTTATGTGTCATGCAATTGAAAGTGTTATTATTCATTTTACACAGTATACACTTTCTCAATCTTTTTCTAAGGAAACTTAAGGCATCAAACATATCGAAAATATATATGTTGATGACAGGTACTTTGATGGTCGTTCAAAGATGAGAAAGATTGAGAGTTATTAATGAAGAAATTACTTTTCAGTTTTTCGTCTATATGTTTCTCAGTCTCGTCTCATCATCGAAGAGAATGGCGGGGGTGGGGGGGGGGGGGGTATCGGCATCGAGTATAAAATCGGTCGGAGAATCAATAAATTTTAATTGAATAAACGAATCGAAATTGTCGAAAGACTGCTGGGAAAAACGGTTTATTAAATATTTGATGAGAATTCGATTATATAAGAGCAAAGAGGTTTTGCAAGAGGTTAGGTTTGGTTGACAAAAGGGTTGATAGAGAGGAGGGAGATAGGTGGGTAGGTAGACAGGCAGGCAGTCAGCCAGGTCCTCTGAGAAATATATATGTGGCTATTTTTACTGACGTTTCCCCGATTGCCCTTTTTACTCGTTGAAAGGACATGGAGAATTATTATTTTGGGATTGTAATTAAGGTGTCTGTTACAGGACGTCGTCCTCCTCTCAATCCTAAGATTATTCCATATGTAACTTTGCTGATATTTTATGTACTATCAATGAGATACGTATTAATTTAAAAAAACGTTTAATTTTAAACAACCACTTAGAAATTCTTTCATCGCGATAAAAGTTTTCCTCGTCGATACCATATAAATATGCATATATGTAGAAAAAAAAAAGGAAGAAAATCGATACCGATATCGAGTACCACTGGGATTGTTTTGCAAGAATAACGAAATAATTTGATCGGACAAATATCAATGAAATTCGCGTCGCGGTTTACGGAATAATTACATAAGCGGCATTTACAACGTTCGCAAATGTTTTCCGAAAACAAAAGTTCGGAAAGGCTCGAAATGGAAACATTCGAGAGATAGAAAGAGAAAGAAAGAGATAGGGGAAGGGTTGGAAAGAGGATAGGGGGAATGAGAAGGGGGAGGAAGATAACTGGTAACACCAATCGTTAAGAAAATAATTCAATTTGATTTCCATTATTTTGAAATATATTTCTAATTCCTTTTATTAAACGTTTACGATCTGATATTATTCGAATGAAATGATAAGAAATTCATTGAAGAGACCAAAAAATGGAAAGGGAGAGAGAGAGAAAGGAGAAAGAAATTTTCGATAGTGATTCCATTATCATCAATTTGAACGTTCGTCGAGTATCGATCGTGGTGGTACTTGAAACGATTTTATTGCGGCTTCACGTTCTTCTCGTTCGTGGAACAACGAAATCCTTTCAATACGAGTCCTCGGAGTTGTTAAGCTTAGAAGCCAAAGCTGGTTTAAGAAGTTCTATCGCTACGTAAAAATCGTACGCGACTATTAACGTTTGTCACTTTCTAACATACTTTAAGAAATCAATCAAGATGTATCACTTGAATTTTAGATAAGAAAAAAGCATTCTAATTTATTTCTATAAAGAAAAAAACACACGAAAAGAAAAGAAATTAACAAACAAGTAGAAAGTAAACACATATATGGTGAGAATCAAAATGGTCCAAGAGTGTAATGAAAGTTATTAGATTAACTGTAAAACATTGTAGATCATTGAAGAACTAACAAATAAAACTTGAAAAATGGTTATTAAATCGTTTTCGTTCAAATTCTCGCTCAATTAATTTTCATACGAATATCGTACGATATTTAGAAAAGGAAACGTTATAAAAAAAATATTTAGATAGAAATTTATGTTTAACATTATTTCGGGGCTGGATTTACATTTGTGTAGTAATGAATGGTTGCATCATGCATATGTATACGTAATCGTTCGTCGCATGTTCCGAAAGCTAGGTTTTATTTATTTACGCAAAAGGAAGCTATGTAGGTAGGTAGGAGTCCTTGTCGTATCATTAATCCAACAGGCGTGATACTTGCTTGCTTAAGGAGACAGGGTATGCAGGATCCAACGATTTCAGTATCGCGATTTAACATAATCAAGCTATGCATATGTATTAGTATATGAATAAGAGTTATGAGAGGATTCACATATATATAGGGTGGACACATTATTTTCTCTATTTAAATAATTTTCCATTTATTTCCAATAATATACAGAAATGGTGTAGGTTTTAATAGAAGAAATTGTACGGAATAAAAGAATCATTTATGATATTTATATATAATATCAATAACATATATTAGTTTTCTTGATAAGATTAATAATGCAAATGGATAAAATCTCATCCTCCCTATATACGCATATATGAAAAACATCAAAAAGAGAGAGAGAGGAAGAGATGATTATAAGCAAAAGCATCGTAGATTTTCTCTTTACCGAGATGGGCTCGTCCAGGTTGGGATAATTTTCAAGAGAGTAATCAAACTGGCTGGGGCTTGTGGTGGTCATCATCAAAAAGGTAGTTCCCTAGCTCTTTACCGATGTCCTTGTATCATAGCAAAGTTTTCATAGGACCGATGGACGCGGTTTGTTTAAACGAAATGACACAAGGTACGACGATATACGTGATAGGAAATGCAATTTCTCTTTGGTCTGTTCGACCAGTTACAATCAGCCCACCTCTTCTTCTATCTTTCTCTTTCTCTTTCTCTTTCTCTCCAACGGGAGAGAACATTGTTTTCATGACCTATACTGCTCGACGATATACTTCCCCCCACATTTTCCCGAAACACCGCTATTCTCAAAAGTAATCTATTCACGGTTCGTCGTGATGTGCGGATTAACCACTCCCCTCACTACCCCCAACAAAATAAACGAATAAAATTGTAAAAGAATGAAGATTGAAATATCGTTTTCATTCTCTTTCTCGTTGACCCCGCGGTCTTTCGATCCACCTGCCGTCGACAGCAACGGCGAATACGATGGACAATTTTAAATGATATCTTTTACCAGGCCGTGGTAAATAAAGCGTATCGTTCTCGATTAAATCTAGTAATGGAAAAGTTAAGTGGAAATATTTTTCTTCTTTGAGATATTAAATAAAACATCGTCGTCGTCGTCGTCTTGATATAGGAACCACCCTACCCTTTGATAAGTATTATATGCATATTTATAGTAATATATATATATATGTGTATGTATACCAATTTAATAGGATACCCCTTTGTTAATCAAATTTAGTATATGTTTATTTATTCATAAAGTAATCATACGTCTGTTATAATTCAAAATAGTTAGTATATAGTAATGTGTAGATCATAAGTATTTGAAAGTACATTGATTTTATTTTAGATTCGTCATTTCGTTCGTTCTCGCATCGATCGATGCTATGGAAAGAAATATCACGGAAATCGCAAGACGTCACGTAAGGAGTCTTTCCTATCCGGAAGAAAGCGAGATGGGGGTAAGAATTTATTTAAACAATGTCTATATTAATAAAATGATATTCGTTCAAAAATAATATGAAAAACGGGAGTAACGATAAAGGGAAAAAATGGTGTCTGATAATAATACTAATATAAGTTTATCGATAGATGTTGGATACACCCTGCCGGATTTTTTCGACTTTGTAATTAGAAGTCTGAGCTTAGTGGTTTTACCTCTCTTTCTCTCTGTTTCTCTCTCTCTCTCTCTCTTTCTCTCTCTCTCTCTTTCTCTGCCTTTTCGAACAGTCCACGCGACAAATACGACGCGTTGGCTTGTGTTAATTAATATTTGCGTTGATGGGGGTGGTGCTTATTTGTCGTACGTATTTACCAGTGACGAAGGGCTCGTAATATCGTTTGGCATTTTGAACTACGGCGCGCCGCGTGCCCTGATTGCGTCGCGATAATATTGCAAATGCAATTGGTACATCATGCCTATGTATATGTATCTTTATGTCTGTTTTGCGTGCGTGTGTATGTTTTGGGAAGAGGAACCGATTCATCGTTCGATATGCCGTCGACATGATTCCCGTACGTGTTCGATGTTTTAATGAACGCTTTGTCGTTTTCAATCGGAAAATTCAAAGCCTCGCACTTTTGGCCGGAAGTACACACTTTGTAATTCGCTTAATCGAATTTGTAAAATCGAAATTTCCCATATATATATATATATGTATGTATATGTACATGTACGTATATTTCATATCATAAATCACATTTATTTGTTTTGATATTATCGTGAATTGAGTAGTAGGTAGATATTTCGAGGATTATATAATAATATGATTATTTAGTTTATATAATAAATCAAGGAACATATCATTGATATAATGATTAACGAGAATGACAGATAAATGTATGGAATAAGATCTCCGATTCGATCAAAATTTAAACAAAAAAGAAAGTATAGTAAGTATTTGCATTATAATATTATAAATTATAATAAGATAAAATTAGAATTTTACGTACGATCACAGTGCAGTAATTTCTCACGTTTGTCGTGTGATCGACGAAACGGAGAAATTTCACTAAAGAGAGAGATAGAAATAAAGATAGAAATAGAGATAGAAATAGAGATAGAGAGAAAGATGAGAGGAGAGTAGCCGTTGATAAGCGAGGCCATCGATTTCCGTTTTCGGCTGGTTTAGTCGACGAGACTGGCAGCCAGGCAGCCGGGCAGGCAAGGCAAAGCATGCAAGCATGTATGCATGCATGCAGGCATGCAGACAGGTAACGAGTTACCGGTGAGGTACCAGCTCGTTCAGTTTAGTAATCAACGCGAGGGTGGCTTTAATCGCAGTCCACCGCAACTTTATTTTCCAGCTTGCTAGTAGCTGAATCCTATCAAGCCACCTCATCATTGTGTATCTCCTACTACCTTAGTCTTCTATAATTAACAATTGTTGGTATTAATATAAGTATTTGAAATAAATGATTGGTATTTGTGGTGAAATTTGAGTCTGTGGTTAAATGTGGTTAATACAGTTTAAAAATCGCGAAGATATTTCTTTTGTAATTGTTCTCATTTATTTCATACAAGACAAGTTTTCGAATGCGTATTACTAACGATAAAAGAGCAACAATAAAATATCTCTGTTTATTTTCACTTTTATTCTTTTATTTGTTCTACCCTCCGCACATTTCTGACATGACAGAAGTAGCAATATAACTATGACGAAGATACAGCGAAGAAATACTAGGGATTGATGGTTACTGGTATAAGGGTAGCTTGCTTTCTTGGGCATCCCTCATTAATGTCGAGAAAGCAACAAGTAAAGGAGTTAACTAACCCTTCTCGACCTACGCTTTCTCTGGTTATTGCCATCCGGTTGTTCGATCCTATCGGTTAACAGCGATAACTTGTGGATGAATATGAACGGGGGTTTTACATGGTATGCCTACATAACAGGTTGCTTCTTTTTAAAATAGACACTCGGGATAACCCTGCTTGTTTCTAAGGTTCACTCGATTTCAAGATAAATCGACAAGGTAATTCTCTTCCTCTCTCTCTCTCTCTCTCTAATATACACGGTGTTTCATATTTTTCTACACACATATATATATATTGATATTTAATAATAACAAAAATATAAGGATTTTCTTTTATTTTCAGATATTCTTTGCCCTTGCAATACCATTGGACGATCCAATTACAACTTACTCGATGTCGGTTGCATTTTTCTTCGAAGCAAATTATAAGTTGCCGACCAAGGAAGACACAAACTTATTAGACGTCAAAGAGGAAGAAAATAAAAATGAAAGAGAAAGAAGGAGCATAGATCGTAGCACGGTTTATTCCATGCTCGAATCGAAATTTAAATCGTTAGTATTATAAACGATTACTCCGTGTAATCTGGCGTTTGAAATAGAGATTAAATAGGTACCTTTTGAGTAAGATAAGCTTGGGACAGTCTGTTAGATTTCGTTCTCGCGATAAACCTTACGAAGGGACACTAATTTTCTAAAGCATCCACTTAGGATGTAAATTTTGTTTTTATCATCAACGAGGATCGCAACGCTCGTATTCGTCGTTTTAACTTTCGACCGAGTTTAAACGATTAATCTCTTTCGCTTTAAAAGATTTTAACATTTATCCTCTTTGACAATTTATATTAAAGTGTGTATACATTTTTATGTATATAACACGTATATAAACAGATAATATATTAGAGACTTCTCGGGTGTTTGAAAATATTCAAATGAGCTTTTGTTTATTCTACGCGTGACTTACACTTATATCGATCTACTATTAAATTCAATTCTAATAATATTCAATCAAATCTCTTACGATACTTCTAATAGAATAATAAAGATCAATCTTTTTTTTTCATTTATTCGAAAATACGCGAACTCTTTTCATACTCATACTCATTTTATTCTCATTTCTACAACTTCTTTATCGTTAATTTTCCATTGTTGGAAAAAATGTTATATAACCATTGACAATTGGAATGAAAAATCTTCCGAATGCACGAGTAAGTTTTACAAGTAGTCTAACGGAATATTGAAACGAGTTTAATAAAGTTATTGGATTCCCCTATTCCCCTTCCCCCTTTTCTTCCTCTTTCGTAGAAATTACAAAGTCCTTTAATATCTCTGATACCGTCGACCTTTACGACGAAGATCTTGATTCGACTCACCACCAACTGATGATGTAACGTCAGTATGCAAATTTCTCGTACTTGCCAAATTCAATTTAAATGTCTTGCATCTGTCGTGGAACAAGATAGGTTTCACACATACACGCATACGCGCAAAGGAACACGCGCACGCTCACGCACAAGCATACGAATACGTGTATATGTATAGATGAGATTGGGCAGGGTTATGGGGTGAAGGGGAGTGGAGAGGTAGAATCATGCACATAGAGAGGAGAGAAAGGAGAGATTCATCAGGCGGCTAGTGCACGAATGTGTCGCTTTATCGGAAGGAGCCTTGTTAGGGAGATAGGACAGGGACTGCTTCGAATAGATTCTCGAAGAGTAACGTTAATCAATCTTCGAAGTTGATAAGATGAATCGTCGTAGTTCTCGTAGAAGGCCCATTCGTGACTATCGACCATCGAACGAGAGTAATTAAATCAATCCTTTGATTTTATGTCTAACGATTGTCGAACAACATCGTCAATTTTATTTCAAGCTTTCAAAGCAACGAGGAGGGGAACAATCTTATCTGGTTATTTTTTTTTTTAATCCTACTATCCAATCCCTTTGATTTGTCTCGTATAATTCTTTTTTTTGGTAAAGTGGGGAGATGAAAGTTTGATTTTTATAATAATTTTTGTCACAGGCGTAGAATAAAATTACATACTATATATATATTATGTATTGTATTTGTGTTCTGACACAGATGGATTCGTAAAAGGGACAAGCAAAAGTCATTTTTCATCCGAAATTTCCGTTTATATCCCTTTGACGTTAATTATACCTACTATATCCCAAGGGTTTCATAAAGTGAATGTTCTATTTTCAATCAGAGTGGTTTTAACGTCACGCAGAAATCGTATCGATCAAAAACGAGTAGACGTTTCGTAGATTGTTTCAGAAAATCTACTATTTGCCTTAGTCTATCATCTTTCACGATTAGCTTAGCTTCTTCAAGAAAAATAGGATATAAAAACGAATTTATTTATTCTATTAATATTAAACAAATGTTCTTCTTATATTAAAATTTTATCGTAAATCAAATAAAAAGAAAAGAAACCTAAATACATATATGTCAAAGAGAAAAAGATAGAGAGAGAAGAGGAAGAAAAAGAATAAGTTTAGCCAGTAACTTACTACCATCTTTCCATCAAAAACATACTAACTCAGTTCGTATATCTTTCTCCCTAAACTTGATCCAATTTCCTCGTCATTCGTCAGTCGCAAATAGACATAACACACAAACATGCACGCAAACACATACACAGACTGGAAAGAAAAGTGAAGAATAAACGTTTGGAGTAAAGTAACATTTGTGTGTGTGTGTGTCAAGAGTTTTAATAGAAAAAGAAAAAGAGGTGGGGGAGGAGTTGAAAGTTTAAGGGGTTGAAGTCCGTACTTATATGCATTTCTACCCTCCCAGTTTAGAATTTTTCGAAGAAGACTGTTTTCCATTTGTCTCCTTTTCGTACTATTCGCCATGTATCTCATAACATAGTTGAAGGAGAGAAACTGGATGATGGATCGTTCGTTGCGTGCCTTCAGGATCGGCTATCCAGCTCGACAGTGCCTCCTCAGATCTATATGCGAAACCACGAAACTGGCCTGGAAGCTCAATGCTGGTGTCCTTGGAGATATCCTACGAATCCTGTTCACGTGAGTGTATTAATGTGTCTCTTGATATATTCCTGATGTATTCGCGGTTTCACTGACGTTATGGTTCTTTCCTTCCTTCCTTTCTTCCTTCGTTTAGTCGACTATGACGAAGAGTAATAAATTTACTCTTAAATTATCTTTAAAGTTACGTTAATGTTAAATTACATTTAACTTGATTTGTTTTTTGTGAGTATCTTCGTATTTTATTTGATTCGACTTGTTTGTTTTTTTTTTTCTAGACCATCTTCATCGCGTTTAGAAGTCGATCTTCACGGGGAATACGTCGATGCTGAGAAAGTCGATAGTAGCAGGGAATGTTCGGAAATTTATTCTACCTGCAAGTACGGGATTTACGACTACATAACGCTCCCCTATCAGGATTTGTGAGAGTAGCAGCTTGCCCTCGCTCGGTCCCTTTCTCTTTCTTTTTTTACCCTCTAGCACTTTTGGTACGACGCTCTCGAAGCTCTAATGAAAACTCAGGAAAGTTTCCTAAATCGGAAAGACCTCGTTTTTCTAAGCACTTTCCTTTCCTACTTTTCGTCGATGTCATTTTTTCAAAGTTCCTGTTGTGATAATAAACTATGATAATAATAACAATAATAATAATTGGAGTTTTGTTATAACAATGAATTATTATCGTATATGATGTATCGTCCATTGTTGGTTCGATCAAATTTCTTTTCTCCCCCTTTCTCTCAGTTCGAATCGAATCTCGATCAAAGCCACGTATACATACGTGTCTATGATTTTAATCGAAGGATTTGTTCGCTGGCTCGTGATATCGCCGAGCTTTAATAACCGTGATTTCGATAGCAACGGGGGAATGAATTCGGTCGGTCGACAATGCAGAATATTTGCTGCGATAATCTAATCCAATATTCGTCCAATTGCGTGGAACTTGTAGAGCTTCGGACTGACTTAAAATCGATCAAGTAAGTTATTTATCCATCATGGATATTTATATTTTCGTTGTAAGTGCTAAATCGTATTTGGAATTTTGAAAAATATCTAACGAAAATTCGCTCTTTTATTCTAACAATTTCCCCGACTTTGTTTCTTTCTCTCTTTCTTTCTTTCTACCGAAAGTTGTGACATTTGGTTTTTTTACAGGAGCCACTTTCGCGTTACGTGCGCCAACGTAATTCCATTATGTAGATAAAATCAGCTTGTTTACTTGTCGGAGAGGGAGCCAGTTTTCTTCTACCTCCTCTTGTTCGTGGCGAGTGTGTCTTCTAGCTCGGCCATTCTCGTATCCTTGCACTAAGGATGAGAAAGTCTAATCAAGTTGAAAACGAGCGTAAGAAGGAATGATCGTTTTACGGTTTCCTCTTGTTACCAATGCTATTAATAAGAAGGATCGTCGAGTAATGCAATGAAAAGATATTAAATAATTTCTAACTAATAACTATAATAATATATTCAAATGAATACATCCAATTCTGATTGTGCACAAACTTTTCGAATGATTACGAAGATAGAATAAAACAAAAAGAAAAGAAATGAGTTAGGTTTAAATGTACAATTCTCGTGGTATTTAATTTTGGTCATGCAACGCAGACGAAATCAGGTGGCCTTCCTCTCGTTCGTCGCCCCCTCAGCCCTTAGCACTCAGATCCCTTTCTCCCGTTCACATATTCGTCGTAAGTAGCGCCGTGACAAACCGTTTGCGGTTTTCCGAGCTTCATACGAGGACTCCAATCAAGTCGAAGAGTCCCACGGGGCATTGCGGTTGATACTTCGAGCAGCTTCCATTACGTCCAACCAACTCGGCCTCGACAATATCTCCCGGCAATTTCTCATGTCTCGAAGTCGTAGGTCTGAAACAATTCGACCATCTCAAAGAGCTCATTTACAACAATAATAATCAGTGGTTGTTAATTACGATGAAACAATAGTTTTTTCTTTCTTTTGTTTTTTTTTTAAAAGTCACTTAACCAGATCCATATTCGTGTAATCAAAAATTATTAACATGAATAAAGGAGAAGAAAAGAACATTATCTTTTTTTTTAACAGAGTGCGATCTATTTTCTCATTTTAAAGGAAGAAGAATTTCTCGTAGAGAAAACGACGACGACAATGACAACGACAACGACAACGACAACGACAACGACAATGCGTCGTTGGGTTTCCTGGCCTCAGGCTCTTTTCCTTATTCATACGTTCCTGGCTCGAAAGCTTATACTCCCACGCGTATACACACACACATGTAGGAGGGAAGAAACGAGCTCGCAAGAATCGTCTCATGTGTGCTTGCAAGTACACGAATGGGTAAGCTAACCGATACAATATAAAGGAGTAGAAAAGCGAGAAGGCTAAACCAAATTTACTTTTGACAATATGTATACGTATGTATATATCTAACTTCAATTTATACCACCTTGATATTATAACCCCACTCCCACTCCCCCCCCCCCCAAAAAAAATACGTAGGAAGGAAAAGAAGAACGAAGAACGAAACTTCAAACTTACCAATCCTTTCTTTCCATTTTTATTTTCTTTTTTTGATTTCATTAACAGACGTAATACGAGCATCTAGAATCATCGAAGAATCGATAAACACAACTACGATCCTTCTGTATAATCCATGAGTTATGGGGTTAATTCGTTCGTTTATGGTTTTAATGGAATTTCGTTCTCTTAGATTCTGGTTCGTTTCTCACGCGTAGAGTATTTTACAAATGGAAAAAAGAAAAGAAAATGATGCTTTTTATTTGTCGGGATCGTTAATTTTTTCTTTTGTTAGCGTACAAATAATTCCATTGAATTTCGTAGATTGTTATTGGCATTTGAGAAATACTAAATTATATTATTCCTTTGTGTTCCGTTAAAACGTAGTAGTATTGTAGATCCAAGATTTACCATTCGTTTTCTTATATTTTTTCTTCTTTCCGAATAAATTTAAAGCGCAGCTTAAGATTATCATAAAAAAAGATAAAAGAAGTTAAAAATTATTTAATCTTTTTCGCATAAGTTTTAGGTGAATTTTGTTATCGCGTAGTCGTGCAACGTTTGCAAGAGCTTTTACGCGTGTCTTTTAACGAAAGAAATATGTTTCGTAACGTCGCAAACTAATTTATTTACATGTATGCGTTTTATACTACACGTGAGTTAACATATTTTTCTTTTTATATTTTGCTATATCTCGGAGAAAGAAAAAAAAAAAATGAAATAAACAGGGTATCCTCTTGGCTATTGAAAATAATTTGATGACGGTTAAAAAGCAAACTTTCTCGGCTCCGACTATGATTTCATTAACGAGCAGGATAATGAAGGAGTTTGGGGAATACGTTTATAACATCGGAAATGGGAGGTAAGATTTATCGTTAAAACGTGTTCCAACCGTACTAGTTATCGCTCTTTTTCACCTAATCAAATTATTATACCCGCTCGAGTTAATATAGGGGGAACAACTCTGAAGGAAAAGTTTCTTTATTATTTTAACCGATGGGTAGTTGTTAAGTCGATTTAGTATCAAATTATTCATTTTAATAAATAACTTTGATCGTATGCGCGCGTGTTAAGAATATTTGATATATAGATTTTCGTTGAAATTAAATATAGGTAATAGTACGTAAGAAATACAAAAAAATGACGATTATTAATTAAATGCTATGCTATTTGTATATATATATATATACAGATTAACCCCGTAACGCACAGATATTTTGAAAAAAACCGGCCAAAAGAAATCAATTTTTTTGGTTAAGTAAAAAAACACACTTTAGAACATTGTCTTGGCAAATAAATAAAACAAATACAATATTAATCAAAATTTGTATTTTAATTTTGGATTTTGATCGACATTGCAGAAAAGAGCCGAATTTTGCAATGTTACACGTACGCCGCTCGAATTATTTCGAACGCACAAGAGTTAAGGGGTTAATAATATAAAATATATATTGAATAAACTTACGTGAAAATGACGTGAAATATATCACCGATGAGACCGTTGTGATGCAAAGGATGTTCAGAATTTTCGCATATGGTTTTCAATAGGCATTCTCTTCCAAGATATCCAGAACTAAATCGTCGGGAGAGAAAGAAGAAAAAAGAAAAATGAAAAAAAAAAAAGGAAAAAGATGGAAGAAAAGTAAGCGTTGAAAGAAAAATAAGGGTAAGTAGATAACGAGACGAAATTATTCTGGCTCGTTGTTACTGTTTCCCAAGCTAAGTACTATTTACATTGGACTTGAACATACTCTAACTGCTGAGGATTTCGCATACGTAATTCGGGCCACGTTCGCACATACGTTATATCCCAGTAGCGTGTCGTCGTTTCCACAAATGAAGGAGCTTTCTCGTAAAACCGAAATCGAGATAGAAAGAGAGAGAGAGAGAGAGAGAGAGGAAGCAAAAGATAGAAAAGGAACGACTTTTGGTAGAGAAACTCTCCTGACGAACTTGCCGTTGCTTGCCCCGTTCACGAGTATGTGCACCGTGAATTCACTTCAATCCCCCGCCCTTTTCTCCCTTTACCCCTTCCAACCCTGAGAAACGTCTTTTGAATTTAAATGCCTGGCTCACGGGTTAAAGTCGATGAAAATCGCTCAAAGAGTAGAATCGAAAAATTGTCATTGTTTTTTTTTTTTCTTTTTTTTTTTTTTTTACAATCGACATAATTATTAACAAGATTCCAGCAGATAAAGTGTTAATTATTAATTGTATTAATTCGTTCGTTCGATTTAACTGACTTAGAAAAAAAATGGAAAAATATTGTCATCGAGAATTTTCTTTCTTATTTTGAAATTTCATAAGACAAAGTACACTCGTGGTGGTTGAAAAGACTATGCACATGGCAGGAATTTCTCATTCGCGTCGTCCTAGTCGAAAGTATTCGACTTCTCGAAAGTATTATCGCGATAGGAGCTTACCTCTCGAATTTACTTTCGAGTACCCGGTAGATCGTGGTTCTGTCGATGCTTCTCTTCCTTATTTTTCTTCTTTTTCTTTCTACTTCGGAAGCCTTAGCAGACCAAGGTTCGAAGTACGACAAGTTCGAGGGTAAAGTGTAGCTGGCTTCGAAGAAATACGACAAGGAAATCGATTTCTGGGGATCTTCGAGTGGCACCGCGATAGCGAGGAAGATCTGAAAGGAATTAGATCTCTGTAATCGTTATAGACGTTATCAATCCCACTTTCCCCCCCCCCACTCCCTTCCCTTCTGTCTTCTTTTCTTTTCTTTTGCTTTTTCTCAGAAAACGATCGATCCTCGATTTCTCCAGTACGCGAGTACCTTGCCACTCGAGATTTCTCACAAATCGAAACGATCGTTTTCAAATCTTACGTTTCCCCAGACATTATACTTTTCATCCTTGATGAGATCATTTTTTAAATCTAATATCAAGAGTGAGATCAAGAATTTTATTCGAGCCAATAAAAGGTTCGACATTCGATCAACCTAAGAATGATTTTATTTTTTGTTATGCTTAAAAGTGCATTCTCTTTCATTATTTTGGATAATGTTTAACGCGCGATTGTCAGAAATTTGTATCTGTCATAGATCGATTATCAGTGTTATGGGAACGGATGAAAGAATAATACAAAAATTTGAGCGATCATATTTCGAATTATTTGAATTCGAGCTAATAGAAAATCCGGAGATTTGATCAATCAAATTTTTATTGTATTAATTGACTTTATTATCTTCCGTAACGTTGAGATAATATTCGTATATTTTTATATTATTCGTAATTCGTAATATTTTTGATATTGTGAAATAATCATTGATTCCTCTTTTAAAGTAAATTACAATCGTTTGAATTGGAACTAATGAAATCTATTATTCTCGATAATATGAAAAGAAAAGTAATGAAAATTGTTTCATTAAACGAACGTCGAATTTTTTCGCGATTGCATATAATAGATACGACATGTCGGTAACTTACACCCATCGAACTAGCTTCTGGAAATGACAAGCTCCTGATAGGTCGATGAAGAGTTTCGGCTATCTCCGAGTTCGACGACTTGGACGAACATGTTAACAACAGATTTAACGTGAGACATCTGCGAATAAACGAGTTTTGTCAGTTTCCAAGCAGAAAGAAGAATATTCGTTACTGGCGTCGAGCTTCTCATTTTTTTCTATTATCCATCAAACAGATTCCTTTTTCTATAGTAATATCGTAGCACTTATTATTTTGAGATAGAAATAAAAGTTCGACGCCGGTTTAAAAATGCGTGTCATGTTGATAGTGCGAAGCTCACAAAATGCGTATCACCGGAAACCACATGTTGAAAGAAGATTGCCACAATGCTCGTTCTTCTTCGTACATTTTTCTCATGGTGTATGTGTGTGTGTGAATAAGTAATACTATTAATTCTCCGTGAAAGGGAAAAACCAGAGTCCGTTTTTGAGGAACAAATAACTCGTTTTAAACTCCTGTAAGGTCTTCTTCCTTTAACTTACTTGCGTACGAAAACGACGTAGTTTTCTTTGCGAGTTCGTTCTAGTCGACAGTCTTTCTCTCTTTCTCTTTCTCTTTCTCTTTCTTTCTTTCTTTGGGTGTTGGTGGGTACAGTTAGACAAAGCAAATACTCGGAGCGAACGAGAAATGCTTTACGTAATAATCTCTACGTCCCCTTATTCGTCCGTGTAACGTAAGAATCTCAAGCGACAAGTCAAATTCTTTCCCTAAGAACTTAATTATTTTTTCCTCTTTAAATAAATTCTTTTTTCTCTTCTTGTCTCGTTTATTTTTCTTTTCTTTTGCGAATTTAAATATAACTTTATTTTCAATTATTTTCCTTTTCCTTTTCCTTTTCCTTTCTCCGTTCTTATAAATTATTATTATCTTTTTCATTATACTTCATTCTTATCGCTTAATCTTCTTTTTTTTTTTGATAAATTTAAATTGAATTATTTTTTTCTTTTCAATTATTATTCTTTTCCTTTTCCTTTCTTGTTCTTAGAGAATTTGTTATTATATTTTTCTTTATATTCCATTCATCGTTCGTCAAGTCCAGTTTCATTTTATTATATTCCTTACTATCCCATTTCTCGGGTTCTTGTGGATTAAAGATCAAACGGAACGATGAGAATATTTTACGTCCGGTTCCTCTTTCTCATTTCCGGTTGCACCGGAATTTCTCGATCGGAAACAAGGGAGTACGAGAAGACTAGGAGTTTTCTAAGAGAGAAGAGGCATCTCCTCTTTCCCGATCCGAAGGACAGCGAAACTAAAGTACAGGTTCGTCATCATTTTCAATCACTAGAAATATATTTTTTTTCTTTCTTCTTTTTTCTCTCTCCGTTACTTTAATTAACTTGCATTCGAATTATTTCGTAGAATTTTTACTTTATCAAAAAAAAAAAAAAAAAAAAACGTAGAGAAGGTTGAACGAGTTGAGAAAAAAAACTTCAAAAAAACAAATGTGGACATATTATCGGGTAATTTATTCGAACGATTTTATTTTCCTCGTACAAATAATTGTTGTTTTTTTTTTTTTACAATACGCGTCGGAGTTTTAATCGTTTCTTCTTTTTCCTTTCCTTTTTGGAAGGTGGGAGAGGGGGTATTTCGTAGTATACGTGCACGTGAACAGAAATTAAAGAACCTTTTTACTTGTCTTTCTTTATTTGCCTTGTGATTTGCAAGTCCGCTTGTTTGACTTCGGTCGTCGCCGAATTTATAATCGCTAAAGTAAAGAACGAGTATATATGGTGGCGGTAGCAGATGTGGAGACAAAAGTAATTAAAACTCGTACGAAAGCTGAGCGATTCTCTCTCTATCTCTTTTTATTTCACTGTTACCCTTTTCTTCGAACATTTAAAAGTGAAATTTAATATGAAAGTTAATGGATCGCATCGAGAATATTATTCGATTATTTGTCCGATTTTTTTCTGTTTTTCTTTTTTCTTTTTCTTTTAATAAATATTACCCGAAGACGATAATTAAATCAAGTTTTCGATCTAATTTCAATAAACTTTATAATAATAATAATAATAATAGTAATTAGTATATATATTATTATTATTATTATATTATTATTATAATAAATATCTTCGATACACAGAGTTACGTGAGCTTTAATAAGTTATTAGTAAAATATAAAAGAAAATAACATAAAGGAAATAAAAAAGAAGAGAGGAGAAAAATCCGAAACAACCAATGAACAAAAGAATTAAGTTCGATCGTTCGCTAATGGATTTCTGATTTTGGAAAAAGGTGCTTTTTGGTCTTGGTCTACCAATGGAGGAGGATATATCTATGACTCTTGGTTACGTGTTGAAGTGTAATTACGATCTACCATACAATTCGTCGGATTTCACAAGAGCTCACGCACGATTTAAAAAGTTCACCGACAACGTTCTACCGCAGGGTGAAAAACCGGAGCACCGAGGTAAAAAAAAAAGGGAGAGAGAGAGAAAGAAAGGGATGGGGGTGGGTGGGAGGTGTGGGGAACGAAAAAAAGTAACCACGAGCTCGAGCACTCATATATAAATCAGGCCACTTCGGTGAGATTATTCACCTTTTTAATTTTCCTTTCTTGTATTCTCCAAATATGGTATATGCATGTGGATGCACGTGTGAGGGCTTAAGGTATATATTCACATTTTGCAATTGATTTGTTTTTCTTAAATAAACAAAGAGAAGATATATAAATTTCAAATGAAAACAATTTCCCCTCCGCGTACATTCTCTCCCTCTCTCACACTTGTTGGCCAAGCTGTTTAGCTGCTTATTTGTATTTTTACATGTACATGTACGTTTCTTTTTCTCCCCCTTGTGGCAATATAGGTTTGAGTCGTTGGACCCTATACAGAATGTTGGAATCAGCTATGGAAAGGTTCGGATCCGGTAAGGCTTGTTTACTCCGGGCCGTTTGCGAATCAGCGTCGAATCCCTTCGAAAGAGGACACGGACTCCTCGGGGAACTTTTGCACGTCCTTCTTACACCTTCAACAACATTTGAAGAATACGAAATTTACTCGGATCGCGAATACTTCGCGGCAGAAGCTATCGGCCGAAATTCCAATGGGAAATGTGGATACTTTTATACCGAGTGCCAATACAATCCGTTAGATTATTTTACAACCATTGGCGAAATGTTCTTCGTACGTGAACGTCCCTGAATGCTAGAGTACAAACTTTTTGCATTCAACTGTCTCGACCCCAGCCTTTTTTTCTTTTTTTCCCCTATATTTTCTTACACTTTTACATCTGCTCTCTATGCGAATAATTCATATAACCTCGTTAGAACGTACATAATTTATATTTGTATGAGCCATTCGATACAATTTTCCTAATATTTGTCCATTGCAATTGGATTGTTTTAAATGATTATTGTCGAGAAAAATGAATATTTAGCAGTATTTAGGAATTTCCATCTCGTAAAAATTGGCTAAATATATAATTTAATGAATTGTTTAATATATTTTGTATATATATTCTGATATTTTGACGATACAATTTGACGCATAGTAAATCAATTAGAAGCGATCAGTTGGTGAGTTCATTGAAAGTCATTTAATCCTTCGTAGTGTCGACTAATATGCTTAATTAAGACTAATAATTCTATGTAACATAGTTCGAATATCGACGCTTTATCGAATGAACGTTACTACAAATTGAAAATAATGTTATTAAATAGGAAATGTATGGGTGAGTGTATACGTGAATATAACTTGTCCTTTACTTCAAATGGTTTAACAGGATGCAATAGATTATTTGATTCCAATTGGATCATGAAAACGATTGGCAGGCCAATAAAATACGAAAACAGAGAGAGAAAGAAAGAGAGAGAGAGAGAGAGAGAGAGAGAGAAAATGAAAGCTTTAAATTGTTGGTCACGAAATGTGAATTCAATATATTTGATTATTTGATCTACTCTCATATCAGCGAACGAGCGAATCTCTGAACAACGGTATACCGAGTTACCGTCCACTTGAATTTATAATTCCATTTCCTTTTGACAAATAATAGGGGGAAGGTGTATCCTCTTGTCCTACAAATTTTCCTTCCAATATTATCAACAGATTTGTAACGTTCATATATTATTTTATTCATGCATTTTCCTAATAATTATATATATATATATGAATATAATATAATATATTTTTCTGTAAGAAGCAAAAATGTAAAAAAGAAAATGAACATGGAGGAATCTCCAAGTCCATTATTTCCTTATTACATCGAACATTTTTGTCGTACGATCCTAAAACGATCCGTTTTATGTTATTTCCTGACTTTTTTCTCTAACGATGTAGACGTACATTTTATTAACGATGAAAAATAAAGATATCGAAAGACATAGCATTCGTTCATTGAACTTACCTCTTGGGGCGGATTTTAGGAACTTGTAGAAAGACGTATTATTTCATTCTCTTTCTTTATCTATCTTTATTCCACATAGAATCGAAATATAGAAAGAAAAAGGAAATAAGTGAAAAAGTAAGAGACATACTCGGTGATCTGCGAAGCGTAGAGATAGGGTAACGACAAGACGCGTTTACCAAAAGGTGATTACGGAAAAAGCGGAACTTCTTTTCCCTATGGGATCTCTACAAATACGTTAGAAAAAGGAGAAGAAGAAAACGAAAAGGAGTTGCGAGTCAGATCGTTTCGAGTTCGCGATAGGAGAAATACGATTTACTTGCGAGATTCCAAGTGTTCAACACTCGACTAGCGTAGGATCGTTTTACGATGTAATCGTTTACTTTTATTCCGAGTTCAAGGAAATGGACAAAAAAAAAAAAAGAACGAGAAATATATATCTTAAGATAATATTTTTGTTTTTTTTTTTTTTTCCATTTTATTTTATATTAAAGTATAGTTCATTCGTGTTAACTTAAATACCTAAAGTTGTTTCAGCAAGGTGTCACATCGTCGCAAGATATTTTCAACAACAACAACAACAAAATATTATCCCAATCCCTCTCTCTCTCTCTCTTTTTTATTTTACTCATAAATTAACGCTATGTCACGATGAATTATGTATGTACATTATACTTACAGGTACTTCATAAAGTAATTCTTATTTACAAAATACTTGGTCAGATTTAAAGTTAAAAAGAGAGAGAGAGAGAGGGAGATAGTTTCTTTTGTGTTGAACGATTCATCCCATAGAAATGCGTTAAAGGCAGACTACTAAAAGGGAAGGGGAATGGGCGAGTAAAGAAGGTTCAGAAAAAATATCAGCTTTAACAAGACGATCCGAAGAGAGAAGGAAGTTTCGGAGATTGCGAAACGAACAGGTGGAAGACGAAGCACCGCGTTTGCATACTTGGCAATTTCTCTGTACCATCTTTTACAAAGTTTTACTTATAAATTATGCAGAAGGGGCTCTCGCGTTTTACGAGAAGTCCCTTCTTTTCCTGTTCGATGTTAGCGCGATAGGTACCACCAAGTTTTCTCTTCTTCTTCTTCTTCGACTTGTGGTCGGTAGAAAGAAAAAAGAGAGAGAGAGAGAGAGAGAGAAAGAAAGATCGAAGGATTTTACATCGTCTTCTTTTTTTTTTCTTCCATCAACAAATCTTTTCTTCTGACACTAATATAATAAAAAATCGTTATTTATTATTTATTAAATAGTACTTGAGCTTGATCGTATATCTACGCTCGATGATGTTAAATGCCAAATAATATTTTGTCCAAAAAACACGCGAGAAATATTAAACGAATAGTCCGTATGTGCTTGCCGAAAACTAGAATCTGTCTATCCTCATCCAAGTTTGGTGAAGTAGAATTTAGGTCAACGATGCGCGACAAGCCGCACGATTCAATTATCCGAATGCAGATATTATTCTATTGAGGTTTCTGCATCGGCAAAATTTTCGTACCAATCCGTAATGCAAACATGGATCTATCACCCGACAGGACATCGCTCTTAGTCTCTTGTCTCTTGATATTGCATAGCATATATTGCATAGGATGGTATCCGCCATTCTAATATTTTCTTTCTCTTTTTTTTTTTTTTTTCTTTTTTTTATTTTTTAATTTTACGAACGTGTCGAAAAGGAAAATCATCCGAGAGAAACAAATTTTATCGTTCGGTTCTATCGACCTAATCGTATACTCGTTGATATTATCAGAGTAGAGATCGAAAAAGTTTTGAGCTTTCAACAAAGAAAAACTATTATCTTTTCGATTTAAATAATAAATAATTAAACCGAGTAAAATGGTGATTTTCTACGCCAGGCTCAAGACTTTTCAACCCGCTTATTTATATATTATTTTTCGTATAATAATATTCATTTTTATTTCATTTTCGAAAAGAAAAAAAAAAAAGGAATTTCAAGAAATATAGATAAAGTATTAAAAGATGACCTAGCGAGAGTAAAATAAGAAATAATAGTATTCTTTGTGCAGGAATGAAAAAAACACGGAAGAATGAAAGAGAGGGGGGGAGAGAGAGAGAGAGAGAGTGAGAGATCGATCGATAATGGTGATATTCATTGTTCAAAAAACCGTGAAATTGTTTATCGCGTAAATATTTTTTTTTATTATTATTATTATAATATTTTTTTTCCCGTATTTATTTATTTTTTGTTCAAGTGTTACGAAGTAGTATCGCAGAGATGAGGGATGCTCGTATAGGATAGGATTAATGGCGAGAACGTCGAGGCAAAACAGTTTTTTATGGGTGTTCGTCGTCGGCTGGTTTGGTGAATTTATGTAGGTCGGACCAGCTCGTTCATAAAGAATGCGCAGCTTGAATATGGGCCATTGAACTCAGAGACAGCTTTTTGCTGCAGGTTTCTACCTAAACGTGGTCCAGGTATTATCCAAGATATTATATAGGTCAGAGAACGTCATTGTCAATATCCTCTTATATTCAATACGATTTACATAGATAAATAAATAGATAGATAGACACGCTTTAGATGCACAATATCGTTGTCGTGTGTATAAATTCGATAAAATATAATTCACATTTTGAATAGCCTTGAATATTCATGAAACATAATACGCGATCTCTAACATGTTAGTAATGTATATTAATCGTTTAGAAGTTTATCTCCTTCGAATAGGTGAGTCAATAATTTATATTCTGGATTTGAAGATACTTTAGAGTAACGTTTCTAAGGATCAAAATAAGTGAACGAGGATGGATCGTTTAATATTAATCTTGGTTGTTTAAATTGGATATAAATAGATTGCAAAAATAACACCAATATAAATCTAAGCATAAACAAAACGTAAATCTATTTGAATTATATCACATATTTTAAGAGTACATTAAATGAATAAAAGAAAAATATAATATTAAGTGAAATAATTAAAGTATAAAGAAATTTTGACAAATTTTCTTTTAAACGAGTTACACGTAATACGCGTTTTATCTAATACACGCATACACATATGCGAACAATCAAATCAAATGATATAGGAAATTATACGTGCTCGTTTATATGGGCAATAAGAATAAAATTCATTTGCATGGCAATGTGCAAGCACATTTGCTTGCTTGCTTGCTTGCTTGCGTCGGTTATTATTAATGACGTTTTACGTGACACGTCGTCAGTGGCCGATTAGGTATCGAATCGATTTTAATACCAGTTCACATAACTTTAATGTCATTTGATATCGATATCGACGAGCTGCCAGTTCACTGTTATATGTACATTCATACATAACGTCGTACACATACACATACATAGATACAATAATCGATAGAGAGACTCGAGAACAGTGGTGGTTTATCCTATCGGTTGCTCGTTGAACGATCTCGTCTCTCGACAAAGACGGTTCATTAGCCGTTTAACCCCCACGGTCGCTGGACTAAATGCCGTTATTAGCGAGTACAATTCTAGGAGGATAACTTAAAGCTTTTCTTATTATTTTCTTCAGTCTCATCGACGCGTTCAAACCGACTGAGAAAATGCGTTCTTTATATCAACCATTTTCTTTCACGACAGTTCTATTTATTTTTCATACCCCGATGATTTTCTATCATCCTTCCAATTGTCAACGAGACAAAAGATCTTTAGTTTATCCACCACCTGGTTCCAACGCACCGACTAAAGTTCAGGTAATATTTTATATATCATTTTAGTTTAATCTTATTAATCAAAAGTTTATTAATTTATTCTACGTCGGAATTTATCGGAATAAATTCAATCGGAATAAATTCAATCGGTTTTCAATCAACT